GCTTTCAAAATAACTCCTTTTGGCTGCTCTGTGCTTGTCTTGTACGCTCAATCCTTTAGCACTTTGACGTTTTTCCTGAATTTGCCTCGTGAATGCCCACTCCAAATGAACATAGGCATCAAAGCACCCCTCTCCCCCCGATAGGCAGCATCCCTACAAAGATCTGGGGGTTCCCACATACTTTAAAGCCACTGACAAAAAAGTTATGACAAAATCCATGTTGAAAAACAAATAGTCTAAAAGATCATTTATATTTCACTGGAAGAAACAAAAACGGAACAGGGTATTTTAGGGAATTACTAATTTGAAAATTTCTAAATTCTGACAAAATCAACATCGAAAAATAAATGTTCTAAAAAATAATTTCTTTAGAAGAAAAAAGGTTATCTAACGAAATTACTAGCTTGGAACAATTCCACCAAATTTAATCAAATGAGAGTCAAATAGCTTTCAGGCACAATCCAGTTGCAACGGAAACCACAGCTGGGCTGTCCCATGCCATAGACATCACATGGTGGGGGGATGATGGGCTGTATTGTGAAGGAAAAAACTGCAAGACTGGAGCTTAGATCAACATCATTGTAATTATTCTACATCCATAGGAAACAAATAAGCAGCTAAGCCCTCCCCATTAAAATGCCGCAACACAGCAGGCAACCTTAGCAGAGAGGTCAAAAACTGGTGTACCTAAGTTTTTATTCTGTGGTAGGACACAGTGTGAAAAGCCCTTTTAAACAGCCACTGTCCTTAAATCATCTGTATGCCGTAAACCGGATGCCTTTTGCAAGACCGCAAAAACACCAATTACACCGTCCAGGCAGTATCTTACCACGACCGTCTGTAAGCACTCTGTAGACCAAGGGTAGTGGGGTGGCTGTGGACCACAGGAAAGGTGGTGCCTGAGAGGAGGGCTGGGCACCCACTGCCACTTCTCCTATCGGACGGGGCATTCATTTGCATTTCCCTGCTGTTGCCCAGAGACCTAATTGCATGGAAACCTAAACTCTAGCAAACACTGGCTAACATTCAAAAGCCATTAGCAGAAGATGGTAAGCAGACATCATGAGTACAGAAGCCTCCATTTATTAAGAAATAATGCTTTAGATAGGGCTGTACATAAGACCTTTTTTTGTCCAATGCCATACTTAAAGAAAAAAACCCTGCCCTAAAGGAACATCCAGCTGCCTCTCATTCTTCTCACCAACTACTTCTTCCTAATGCCTTTCTCTCAGTGTAATGTGTCCCACAAGATCCAGCCTGCCCTACTATATGAAGTGTGGCTACACCGCACTCATGTACCACTTGCAGTGTCTAAGAGAGAACCAGTTTCTTCATGCCCATGAAGAGATACCCTTACATGAGCGTGAAAGGAGGCTCTGCCTGGATTCCCACTCTCCTCCCTTTCCTTGAGGCAGGGAGAAAATTTACACCAGTCTTTGAGGAGTACGGTGGCCACAGCCAGGTCCTAGCTCGATGAGAATGAGTTATCATTACTGGGAGCTATTTACTGCTGTTAAGGCAGGACTTTGGGCAATCTCATTGTGTTTTTTCCTTTTTCTTCTGAGATTGGTGCCTGTATTATTCAAAGACCACACTACCTTAGAGCTTCTAACTTTTGATTGTGTTGTTCAGCCCACAAACTACTGTCAAGGATAAAATTTGATGCACAGAACTAGAACTTGCATCTGGTCACTGTTCTGCTACACTGTCTTACCCCTATTTAAGTCATCTTTGACCCAAGCTGACATGCTTGATGCCTTCCTGTCTGGATGTCAGGGATATTAGTTTGACAGTGGGGTGCAAACGGGATCCTTTCATTTGTGTTATATGCCAGCAGTCTTCTCCAAAAGGAATGCAGAAAAATAGGGCTCATCTTAAATCACAAGGCAACAAGGCATAAAGTCAGGAATAATTGAAAAATTAAACTACAAGCACCTGAATATCAGTGATAAGCAGAGACCAAAATGGACAACCATTATCAAACAGTATCTTTGCTTACTGTTTCACAAAATCAAATAGAAAAATAGAGCCTTGTATGAATCTAACTTTTTACAGAGCTGTGCATGTGCTGAACTTTATTCACAAGAACACTATCCCTGATGTGAATGGGACTGTCAAGCTAAGTAAACACACGAGTCTTGCCAAATCCTTGTTGGACACATTCCTTAGGGCATTACTACTGAATGCTGACTTCTAAATGACAGTCACTGCACAACTTTTTTAAAAAAATGAAATATGCAGTTATGGAACCTGACATTTCAAAAATCAGAAAGCAGATGAGATAGTTACTAAATCAATAAGTTTCAAACATGTAGAATGAAAAATGGGAGTACCTTTTTTCCCCTCTATTTAATTATTTAAGTGTATAAATATTTGGTATTTTATCTGTCTGAGAATGAGCAAAGATTCAGCGTGGCTCAAATGTTATCCGGACAAATCTGACTAGCTCCAAGAAATTACTCATCAGAACATGGGAGATGCAGATGAGTGACAGACGCCTTATCATGAGAAGAATTAACCCAGGCAGGTGAACTTGTACTCTTGGGGTCTCATGTTCTTTTGCACCTCGCACATTTATCATTGGATACACTTTGCAATTCATGAGTAGAGATGCTCACTCTGATGTGTCAGCGAGCAAATATTCTGGTGAAAAGCCAGAATATGCCTGTCTTTCTGTGAAACTGGCATAAAGAGAAATAAATTCTGCAGCTTATCTTGGCACGAGAGCCATCAGCTCTACTGGCAAAAAATTCCTACCCATGAATTGCAGCCTCAGTCTCATACACGTTATCTACTGGGAGTCTGGCACAGCATAACGATGGTTCCCATCCAAATCCAACCCCAATTCCGTATTTTCTCCCACAATGTTTGGAAAGAGCCATAATCATCTAAATACTAGTCATCCTTTGGTGTTCTCATTTCCCCATAAGCAAGATATATCTTAGTTTTATATATCTTAGTTTTAAAATTACAGCCAACGTGCTGTAGATTTCTCTGACCCTATGTCATCCAGGGGAGGGGGAAGAAAGAAGAAAAGGAAAAAAGTACTGTCATGTGTTTCAAAAGTCTGAAGGCTGCATTATAGCTTCAGCTTAGTAATTACAAAGATTTATGTTCCATTCTGCCCCAAATCCAGAGCTCATTGTCCATTCAACTTGCACTGCTTTGACTTACAGTTCTCTGCATCCATTATCTTTAATAATAGAGAGATGACTGAAGTTAATGATTGAAGAGCAAGATGTGATTAATAATATGAATCTAATTTATGAGAAAACAAACTGGTGTATGATTTTCATGTTTCATTAGAATTATCTTAAATGTACTCCTTAATGCTAATTGATCTCACAGAGGTGAGAAAATACTCTGTTCCAAATTAATGGGAGAAAATCATTCATCATCTTTCTGGAGGGAACATTTAATATCATTCAGTATTTAGAGGGAGACAGCACCTCTTCACAGTGATTTTACCACTTAAAGTGATGCTTCAGTGTGGGCATGTATCTGAAACCTGCAAGATTTCCCACTGAATAGGGAAACAATTTAACAGAATAAATACACAACAAAATGCCATATACAATGTTTTCTTTTTGCAAAAGGTGTTTCCTATCTTAGCAAAATTACCCAAAGTGGAAAAACAGTGCTGGTGAACAAAAATTGAGCAGGCCTTATCCGTAAGTTCATCAAAGAAAACTCTTTCAGAATTCTATTAATTTGCTATGAACAGGAGATCATTGAGACATTTGCAAGACAAAGTTCCTTGCAGGATTTATTGAAAACAAGACAAAGCAGAAATCTATTTTACCATTGAGTTTTTCACTTTCTTTGTATTTCAATACTTTTTTTCTCTTTTTGAATTATTCACATTTGGATATCAAATATTCTTACAAACCAATGCATTGAAGAATAATGAATTCTGACTGTCTTCATTTTAAATTGTTGTGCTTTACGCCCAGGATTATTATTGAATGACCTTCTATTCAGTCTGTTTCTATGCTCCATAAATAGAAATTGCCTAATGAGCATCTCAAATATTCCACTGTCATTTTCACATCAGATTTTCTTATCCTATGTTTGTATAGCTCTGATGACAATACCTATTAATACACAGCAATAGCTCTTTGCCTCCTTCCTCTCAAATCCCTTCCATGAATACAACCTTCTCTATTCTGGGCTGGAATCTTGTATCTTTACACTGTTTGAGAAATTTCAAGAGCTGCTCTATGAGAAATGCCACAACAGCAGCAATAATTATTGAATTTTCTGATGAAAGAGAAAAGATTTCCTCTTGCCTTGTTCTTATATTTTACTTGAACAGGATTTACATATTTAGTCTGCAAAGCAGCAGGGATAAATACACTTCTCAACATACTAAATCCATTTACAGCTATACCAAAGAATGAAAGTGGAGACTAATAATGGAAGAGATGCAGAGTTTCTGACACTACCTAGAGTGATATATCATGGAGAAAATAATATATATTACATGAGAAATCAGCAGTGAGTTCTGGGGGTAGAGGGGAATTCCTTCTAGAAGGAGAATAAATACATTAGACTTCTATGCAGCTTGTGTTTCTCCTACGGCATTTTCCCCCATTTCCTTTGTACATAACCTAAAGCACATGCCCCCACTTAGAAAAGAAGCCCGACAAAACTGACCTTCAGCTGCTCTGTCTATTGACCTGATATAGCGCAGTGTGCAGCAATGCAGTCTTCCAGACCCAGACCATCAGTTGCTAAAACTGCCACACCTAATTAAGTCTACCTGTTTATTCAGTGATCTTGGCGCTTGTCCATTTGCTGCACTGTGAAGACTCAGTCATGTCAGATGTCACGGAAATGTTATATGGTGATATTTTGGTCAGAAGGTGAGTTAGTGAATACTCTATTGCCATATCAGCCTTACTTTCTATTTTGATTTTACATTGGCTTTCATTTTTCCCATACCATGCATGCCATCACTTTGCTCGAATTCAAGAAAGACCAAGGAAAAGACTGCTTACCATTCTGGCATCCCACAGAGACAAAGTCTTGTCAGCAGAGCTGGTGAGAACAGTGTTTGAGAATGGAAGAAACTCAATGCTATTGACCGAATCTTTATGGCCACACATCGTATATCTGCATCTCTCACTGCAAAAGAAAGTAACACAAATACAGCACTTACTATTCAGGATAATAAGAGCAAGAGACAAGTTTAGGTAAACTCGTGATGCATTTCAGGTATTTTTCCTAGCTACTCTTTAGAGAAAATGAACATTGATAACTATTCATCACCTAAGCATTACACCACAGAGAAAATAAAAAAACCAAACCACTTAGTGTTTGCTTCCCAGTAATGAAAGCTATAGTTGGAAGGTAAAAAGAAATGGAGAAGCAGGTTTTAAAAGACTGCACTGTAAGGAGCAACAATGAAAGCAGCACTTTTATGTTCCCTGGGTGCATTCTCAAAAACCTTGTTGAGGTAGAATTTGAAAGGATCATGGATGAGAAGGTAGGATAGGGACAGCATCACTTCCTTTTTAAAGATGTATTATTCCTTCTTGCTTACAGAGGGTCTAAGAAATCTATAGCACCATGCCAACGTGCTGGCAGCCTGACTTTCTTCTCAAGTTCTGCAGAAAGACTTACAGAAATTAAGTGATATCTGGGAGTTCTTCACTGAGGGTAAAGTCTTGTCACTGTGGACACCCAAGAGGCCTTTTCCCTGAAGAAGAGACCTCTTCCCATGAATGAATCCCACCAATAGCCATTATAAGCTGTTAGTTCTTATAGCAGATGTGAGGAAATGGAGATGAACCCCAAGCGTCGAGGTCCTTACCATGAACTAACCACAGCTCAGAAGGAACTACTCCATGACATGGTTCTGGAAGTTCTTTCAAGGCTGAAGTCTTCCACCTAGCCCACCTCCTCCCAGCTGATCAGCTATGAAGTAATACTCTAGAGGCTTTTGTTTTGCTGTCTTATCTTTTTGTTTTGTTTTCTTATCTTTTAATGAATTAATTTCTGAGACAATGGTATTCGTCCTTCTCAGTTCAGGGTATAAACCCGATACAGATTGAACACAAGACATGAAGCTTTTCCCATTGTAAGGAATAGAGACAGAACCACTATGACACTGCTGTAGACAATCAGTTCTCTCAAAAAAGGGCCTGAATTTGGCAATATAGCTATGATCTTATAAAAGCTTTTTGGCTTCTGTTTTGTTTTCTGCGTGCACACCAGAGAAGGATGTTCCTTAAACTGGAGTCCAGGAGAAGAGGAGGAAGAGTCCGAGGATACCTCACCAGGACAACACAGAAGGTAACAAACAAATCTGTGATTATTCAAATTGAACAGAATGGCAAAGGTTTAACTCCTACACAAGTATGCCAAGAGGGGAGACAACTGCAATGAACTGGCATTCACCACTCATTATGGCTGTATACAAGAGTCATCAACGCTTATATGGATTTCAGTCTGACTTATTTAAATATGCATAAAACTTCATGAATTTGCAGTGTTTGTATTGTTATATTGCGTGAAAACATACAGGTAGGTGAGCATATTATGGAAAAACCTAATCAATGTAAAGTCAGTAGCAGTTCTATCCTCTTTGTTCAGATGAGTCAAAAATAGTATGAAAAATAAAAGCCAACAACTCATCATAAATTATTACAGCTTTCAGTGAGAGCTCAGAATTTTATTCACTGCTCATGTGATTCTGACAGTAGAAACACACCTCCCCTGAGATGGCTGCTGAATATATCATTGGGGCTTGCAAATTAGATTACTGGGTGGCTCTTAACTGAGAAATTTCTTACAATATTTATTAAGGAAACTGTCAGCAGGGGGAATTAAATATGTGTTTTATATTTTTTTTTCTTCCTGCCTGTATGTCACCAGAAGACTCTTGGCGCTCTTGCAGGTTTTGTGTCAACAGCAATCGAAGATCAGTATCTGCAGATCAGATACAGGCCAGTAGAGCTAAAGGGTTTTGATGGACACTACCCCTGATCACTCATCTAATAAAGTGCCTTCTCTGACCTATTTTAATGCCTTTCCATTTCCCAGACTGAAATGCATATGCTGCGCTGAGCTGAACACCAAGTCTGTCCCCACACAAGGGATAGCAGAAGAGAGATAAGTTGCTTCTGAGTAGAAATATTATCCAGGAAATATGTTTCAAAGGAATATTAGATTCCACTAGTATAATTTTACAGAATCTATGTTTTTCTATTACAGGTAATACATTATACTCTTCAGTATTATCTGTTATATAGACTACATGTGTTATTTTATCACAAGGACTCATTTTAAACTAGTCATAAAGTACTGTGGCTGTTAGAGCCTGGTGCATAAGATATCTGATACTCATGATCACTTGATATATGACAATAAAATAACTTCAATAAAATAATTCTTTGTTTCACAGTCTTATGGCAATGTGTTACACCACCGAATACCCCTTTTTCATCTCAGATCATATACTTTCATTTGTGTATAGGTATGCCATTTTTTTAAACGTGACCAATGATTTGCTGCTTGCCTGTTACACCATAAGGTCTTGCTGAATGGTTTCTGACAAGCAAAATCCTGCTGTATATTTTTGTGGGCGCTTATTATAATGTTTTGAAGACATAGACAACTTTACATATCACACTATGAAAGTGTTCCACTAGAAGAAAAGGGGATATTTTCCTGTAATAATAGGATGTATGTATGACCTTTTCAAACATCTTCAACCTGCTTGACGGGGCTTGGGGTGAAAAAACACAGGAAAAGGAAAGTAAAGGAAAAAGAGACTACTCTGTCTGTGAGTCACTGACATAAGGTATGGACCATCCCAGGAAGACGGACTGCAAGAACAGGCTTGTGAGAGATTAATTAGGTGCCAAAGGAGGAAGGTCCATTCAGAATCCCTTAGCAAGGTGAAAATGGACTAAAGTGATGGACCATGACAGCAGCAGAAGGGAGAGAAATGATTTGTACTTTTCTATCAAGAACATAAACACCCAGACGTGATGCAGTTGTCTGTCTCTCTCCTTGCCACTTCTGTATCTTTGCGTACTGATGAGTGAGCTCTGGCTCTCAAGATTTAATTTACCACTCTGGTAACTGACTGACTGATATTTCTAAGAACCTCCAACTGCTCCATAAAATAAACTTATCTTTTCTTCCAGCTGAGATGTAATTTCAGCAAGACTGTCCTGTATACAAGCTATCTTTTGGTCAGAAAGGGGAACATTTTATTTAGATGTTCTTTTTCCACAAAAAAAGAAGTTAATATGAAGGGTAGAGCATTACCCTGTTTTTCATGGGAGCTCATATTTCTATCCAACAGTTCACGTTTATCTACATTAGAATAAATCTGTAGCAAGATTCATTATCTAATTTTTTTCTTATTATGAACACACAGCCTCATGGATATAAGCTTCACCATCTCTGAACATTTTTGTTCAGAAGAGAAAGGGAATCATCTATGAATAGTAGGTTAAGCATTTGCAGTACTCCTGTTGCTTACATCCAGAGACAGAAGTCCTGGATAAATGATGCCATGGTAGAAATACAGCTCCGTGGTTCAGTATTTTGCAGATTGCATTCTGAACCTCATCTCAGACACCGATTCCAACTCTCATCCTTTACTTGTGCTATTACTACTTCTCAACGTAAAACATCAGATAACACATTTTCTTGACTCATGACTAATTATCCTCAGTGTTCTCTTTTTCTCTATAAAGTCAATTTCCCTTCCCTTAAATCCAGGTAACGTAATGAAGTCCATCAATAAATCAGCCTTTATTCTACCTCACCAGGTTTCGATTTTTCTTAACAGGTTCAAACAAACATGGACAGACTGTTACAGTTACAAGAAGCACACCTATTCCATGAATGTTGGCATTTAAATTAATCATACCATTATCGATGTCACTAGCTCAACAGTGATGGGAAAATTTTACTTGCTCAATTTTTAGAGACTTCTCTTTTGAGAAGCGCATTCCAGAATGGTTCATTCAAATTCGAAAGAGCTTTCAGTGAAACCGCATTGAAAACAGAAGATATGAAAGATTTCCACTTACATAAGACTTTGCTGAATATTAACAGGCTGCTGTCTCTACACTAACATACAATAGCAGACAAATGCACTAGTTGGATATTTCATCAACCGTACAATAACTGAAAAGAAAATACGGATAGTGG